CGGCGATCTTGCAGCAGTAGATGGCGCCGCGGATCCAGGAGCCGCCGTGCACGGGGTCGTTGAATGAACGACCACGAACCTTCTCCAGAACCCCATCAACCACCATGGACCTTCTCCAGAACCCCATAAATGACCATGAATGACCTCCCAGACCCCATAAGTGACCTCAAACCTTCTCCCAGACCCCATAAACCACCTCAAACCTTCTCCAGAACCTCATAAATGACCACGAATGTTCTCCAGAACCCCATAAATGACCTCCAACCTCCTCCAGAACCTCACAAACCACCATGGACCTTCTCCAGAACCCCATAAACCACCATGAATGTTCTCCAGAACCCCATAAATGACCATGAGTGACCTCCAAAACCCCACAAACCACCATGAACGACCTCCCAGACCCCATAAATGACCATGAATGACCTCCCAGACCCCATAAACAACCACAAATGGTCCATAAATCACCACGAACCTTCTCCAGAACCCCATAAACCACCACGAACCTTCTCCAAGACCCCATAAATGACCTCGAGTGACCTCCCAGACCCCACAAATGACCTCAAACCTCCTCCATAACCCCACAAACCACCACGAGTGACCTCCAAGACCCCATAAATGACCACAAATGGTCCATAAATCACCATGAACCTTCTCCAGAACCTCATAAACCACCATGAATGTTCTCCAGAACCCCACAAACCACCTCAAACCTTCTCCAAGACCCCACAAATGACCACAAATGGTCCCTAACTCACCATGAACCTTCTCCAGATCCCCATAAACGACCACGAACCTTCTCCAGAACCTCATAAATCACCTCAAGTGACCTCCCAGACCCCATAAACGACCACGAATGGTCCATAAATCACCATGAATGTTCTCCAAGGCCCCATAAATGACCTCGAGTGACCTCCCAGACCCTATAAGTGACCTCCAACCTTCTCCAGAACTCCATCAATGATCATGAATGGTCCACAAACCTTCTCCAAAACACCAAAATGACCATGAACCTTCTCCAAAACCCCATAAATCACCATGAATGTTCTCCAAGACCCCATAAATGACCTCCAACCTCCTCCAAAACCCCACAAACCACCACGAACGACCTCCCAGACCCCATAAGTGACCATGAATGTTCTCCAGAACCCCATAAATGACCACGAGACCTTCAGGGATGGCGGCCACGGCCAGGGCCACGGCGATCTTGCAGCAGTAGATGGCGCCGCGGATCCAGGAGCCGCCGTGCACGGGGTCGTT